CGCGGCGGGGGGGCGGCGAGGGGCTCCCGCGGGGCTGCCGGGCCGGCTGGGCATCGCCTCTCCCGCGCGCCCTGCCCGCCGCCTCGCCAGCCGCACGCGCCGCCCGGCCGGGGAGGTTGGAAGGAAGGCGACGCCTCCGCGGCCACCGCTCCGCTCGCTGCCTGCTGTCTGCCGGAGCCGGCCCCCCGCCTCCTCCTCCTCCTCCGGCGGCGGCGCCGCTGCCGCTGCCGCCGCCTCGCTCGCCCCGCCTCTCGCCTCCGCCGGCATCACGTGCCTGCCACGGGGAAGGTGGGTCTCTCGCCTCGCGCCCCAAAAGGAACCCAGCCCCCAGGCGCAGGCGCCGACGCCTCTACTGCCCAGAGGCTCTTCGGAGGGAAGGCGTTTGGCACCAGCTCCCCGCAGGCCGGCCTCTATTGTCCCGGGGTGCCTTCGCGGCTGGGTCTCCCCCAGCGTTGGTTCACACGTGCAGCTTTCGTCATTCGAGGGCTGCAAGGTCCGAGGGGGATTTGCACGTGTGGATAGGGTTGCCAACAACGGGTTCAGAAACACCTGGTGGTTTGAGGGTGGAACTTGGGAAAGTGTAGTTTAGGGAGGGGAGAGGGACCTTGGTAGGGTCTAACATCCTGCAATCCACCTTCCAAAGCTGCCATGTTAACATTATTTAATTAATTACATTTTTAATTGCCTGATCCCCATGGTTGTGGGGGTCTAGGCAATGTACAGATTTAGAACAATAAAAACCATAAAAATCATTTCCAACGGATCTAATTCATTAATTAAATGAAAATCTAAACAATGTATGTAATCTGGAGATCAGCTGTAATTCCAGGAAGTCTCCAGCTTCCACCTGGAGGTAGACATCCATATGTGTAGATGGGCCCTGCAGATCCCAAATGTGGAACCCATGATGTGTTTCCTGGTACCCACTTGGGGGTAAAATCCAAAGGGTCCTAAATGGAAGGGGAGGAATGAACATAAGAACATGAGAGAGGCCAATGTTGGATCAGGCCAACACTCTCACACAGTGGTCAAAAATACAAGGTAACATCAGGAGGTCCACCAGTGGGGCCAGGACACTAGAAACCCTCCCACTGCTGCCCCCCCCCAAGCACCAAGAACACAGTGCATCACTTACCCCAGACTGAGAGTTCCTGTCTATACCTTGTGGCTAATAGCCACTGATGGACCTCTGCTCCATATGTTTATCTAATTCCCTCTTAAAGCTGTCCATGCTTGTAGCCGTCACCACCTCCTGTGGCAGTGCATTCCATGTGTTAATCACTCTTTGGGTGAAGAAGTACTTCCTTTTATCCATTCTAACCCGACTGCTCAGCAATTTCATTGAGTGCCCACCAGTTCTTGTATTGTGAGAAAGGGAGAAAAGTACTTTCTTTCTCTACCTGCTCTATCCCATGCATAATGCGGCGGACAGGTTGCTGATGGGTCTCCCCAAGTAGGAGCACATCCGACCTGGGCTGAAGGCACTGCACTGGTTGCCAATAGCATACCGAATCTGCTTCAAAGTGCTGGTACTCACCTTTAAAGCCCTATATGGCCAGGGTCCGACCTACCTGAGGGACCGCTTTTCCCCACATATACCCCCAAGAGCACTTCGGTCGGGGACCCAAAACCGTCTGGTGGTTCCAGGCCCCCGGGAGGTAAAACTTGCTGCGACCAGGGCTAGATCCTTCTCAGTGGCGGCCCCTACCTGGTGGAACGAGCTCCCAGAGGAGATCAGGGCCCTGCGGGACCTTATGCAGTTCTGCAGGGCCTGCAAGACGGAGCTCTTCCACCAGGCTTTCACATAGGGGCCGCCGCTGCCACCACCACCAACGGTGGCAACACCAACAGGATTTGGGATCGCCCTGGGAAGCTCAGCCATATATTGTGTGATATTTACAATGCATGAACGATCTACTGGACAGTGGTACCCCAACGGGGCTGACCTGAAGATGCCACCATAACCACTCAGGACCATCATGTTATTGAAGCACTTTATTATTATTATGTTATTATTGTTATTATTATGATTTTACTGTTTTATTGGATTTTATGCATGGGCCGTTGCCCCTTGTAAGCCGCCCTGAGCCCGCTCGTGGGGAGGGCAGGGTAAAAATGCCTAAATAAATAAATAAACAAAAATAATCTTGTAAACCTCAATCACGTCACTCCTCAGTCATCGTTTCTCCAAGCTAAAGAGCCCCAAGTGCTTTAACCTTTCTTCATAGGGAAAGTGTTCCAACCCTTTTATCATTCAAGTTTCCCTTTTCTGCATTTTCCCAATGCTATAATATCTTTTTTGAGGTGTGGGGACCAGAACTGTACACAGTACTCCAAATGAGGTTGCACCATTGATTTATACAGGGGCATTATGATGCTGGCTGATTTGTTTTCAATTCCCTTCCTAATAATCCCCAGCACAGCATTGGCCTTTTTTTATTGCAGTCGCACATTGTCTTGACTTTTTCATTGAGTTATCTACTACAACTTCGAGATCTCTCTCTTGGTCAGTCTCTGCCAGTTCAGACCCCATCGATGCGTATTTATATTTAGGATTTTTGGCTCCAATGTGCATCACTTTGCAGTTGGCCACATTGAACCCCATTTGCCATGTTGATGCCCATCCTCGACAGATCCCTTTGGAGTGTCTCACAATCCTTTGGAGTGCCTGGCAATCACAAAGCAGGTAAAGAGCTTGGAAGAGGTCTTTACCTGCTGGCTGCCCTACAGAACACTGAGGTCATTCTGGGCAGGACATTGCAGCTGAGCAGCCTGGGCTCAGCCAAAGACACAGACTTTTGGGGGATGTTTATGGATCAAGATGGGTACCCCTGTAGCAGTAGAAAAGAACGAGAGTCCAGTAGCACCTTAAAGGCTAACGAAATCTGTGGCAGGGTAGGAGCTTCCATGAATCACTGTTCACTTCTTCTTCAGGTGTTTATGGAGAGCCAGTGTGGTGTAGTCGTTAAGGATGTTAGACGAGTATCTGTTTGAGTCCCCCACTTGTGCCATGGAAGCTCCCTGGGTGACCTTGGGCCAGTCACACTTTCTCAGCCTGACCTACCTCACTGGAGGAAAGGAGAATGATCTAAGCCACTTTGGGCCCCCATTGGAGAGAGCGGTGGGGTATGACTGCATTAAATGAAATTAATAAGTCTGTAACCTTATTAATTGCATAGGATAAATAGCACCAATGTATTAAATAGCTTAATTTAAAAACAATAGTGCTAACAAACTGGAGTAACAGGTATCAAATGGAACAGACATTGAAATAAATAATGGAAAGCTCTGGAGTTATAATCCATTAGTCATACATTCAGGTGGGAACAACCATGTTGGTCCAAAACAATAGAACAAAGTTTGACTCCAGTGGCGCCTTTAAGACCAACAAAGTTGAATTCTGGGTATAAGCTTTTGTGTCCAGAATTAAACTTGGTTGGTCTTAAAGGTGCCACCGGAGTCAAACTTTTTTCCATTGTAATCATACAGTTATCTCCAGAAACTGTGGAAAGGGGCTGTGGCTCAGTGGCAGGGCCCCTGCTTTGTATGCAGGCAGTCCTCGGTTCAATATCCATCATCTCCAGTTTAAAGGATCAGGCAGTAGGTGATGGGAAAGACCTTTGCCAGCTGAGACCCTGGAAAGCCACCTCCCATCAGAGTAGACAGTACTGACCTTGATAGACCAAGGGGTCTTACTGATAAGGCAGCTTCTTGAGATCCTCAAAATTGGTGTAATTCCTGACAGATAAGGTAATGAGTTAATGACGTTCGTGGTAAGAAGAAGAAGAAGAGTTGGATTTATACCCCATCCTTCACTTGGAGTCTCAGAGTGGCTTGCAATCTCCTTCCCTTCCTCTCCCCACAACAGACACCCTGTGAGGCAGGTGGGGCTGAGAGAGCTCTGAGAGAACTGCTCTTCAGAGAACAGCTGAGAGAACTGCGATCTTGCCCGAGGTCACCCAGCTGTCTGTGTGTGGAGTAGTGGGGAATCAAACCCGGTTCTCCCAAACTAGAGTCCGCCACTCTTAACCACTGCACCAAAAGGCCACAGTAGTATATAGTTTCTGTGATCCACAAAGATGTTCCAGTTCAACAAGTAGCAATCTTATCCTTTCATCCGCCTCAATAACTTTACAAGGGAAAAGCTGCTTTCCTTTTGTCTCTTCGGCTAGCTGCCTTCTCTCAAATGTCAATTGTCTCCAAGGGCCATCCACCTGAACGTCCTGGGCTTCAACCCCTCCTCATCAGAGTAGGTGCCAGTGCCACCACAAGCTAGCAGTACCTTGCATGTTTCTGGTAACTTCTCTGTGTGTCCTCACAAGGAGCAGTCCCTCCCCTTTCGCTGGAAACGGAAACCAAACAGATTCAAATCCAGCGGCACCTTAGAGACCAATAAGATGCCACGTTGAGACCAACAAGATTTTAGAGACTAACAAGATTTTCAGCGTATAAGCTTTCAACGGTTAAAGCTCCCTTCTTCAGACCAACACGGTTACCCTCTGATACTGAAACCAAACAGTATCCCCCAAAGGAAAAACCTAGTCTTCCCATCTGCATGTATGCATGCGCGCACATACACAAAACTATATATGCAAGACACTTTGTGACTGGTCCCACCCCTACAGAAGCTTTTCTGTGATTGGTCCTCCTGTCCCTTCCTGTGCACAATGGCCATTTTGTGGTGGACCCCACTATCGTTTCTTACCATTCCAGAAGCACCCATAGGCTCAAGAAAACTTGGGAACCCTTTAGTAGAAACATCTTTCAGATCTGGACCTGGAAATGGCAAAGGAGCAGGAGGCAGCTGGCATGCTGAGCTGTTGGCCACTGACTACGTAGCATTCACATGAATATGTGCACATCAGG